GACTATTTCCTCCCCCAGTTTGGGGAAGTTTTCAGCAATTATTTCTTCAAATACACTTTCGATCCCTTTTTCTCTCTCTTCTTCTTCTGGTACCCCTATAATGCGGATATTGCTCCTTTCGTATAGGTCACACAATTCTCTTATAGTTGTTTCAGTCCTGGAGATCCTTTTATCTCTCTCTGCATCAGCTTCTATGCGTTCCTGTTCTCTGGTTTCTAATCCATCAATGGCCTCTTGCATCTCATCCATTCTGCTTTTAAATCCTAACAGAGATTGTTTTATTTCTGTATTCTCCCTCCTTAGCTCTTGAATATTTGTCTGCAAGTCCATCAGCGTGGTTATGACCTTTTAAATTCTTTTTCAGGAAGATTGGTTAGGTCTATCTCCCCAGATTCCTTTTCAGGGGAGACTTTGTTAATCTGGTCTGTGTCAAATTCTTCAGCCTTTTCATGGCGATAGAGATAGTCGTGTGTAGTTGGCACGTGTCATCTGGAAGAATGTCCCTTCTTTCTAGTTTGTGGCTTTTCTCTCCTGGAAGAATGGCGACCTCTAGCGGCTTGTGCTGGGCAGCTGCGTGCAGATGGGGTCTCTGATTCTTGTCCGGCCGCTCTGAAGAAAGCTCTGTGCACGATTGCTGTGGGCTCTGCCAGAGCGGGAAGCAGGAGGCTGTTTATCGGGAGTCTCGGAGCTGCACTGCTGCCCAGGGGGTTAGGGTGCCTGGAGTTCCCCGGTTCCCAACTGCTGAGCTGATTGTGCCAGGACGCCTTTGTCCAGCTGTGGGGTCCCTATTCCTTTAAGACTTTCAAAGGGCACTCTCTTTTCTTTGTCCCAGAGGCGCTGGCTGTGGGGACCCGCTCGCAGATTTTACTGCCCCATTCCCTAGTATCCAGCACCCCACGCACTGTGTGTCTGTGCTCCGGTGCAGATGGCTAGGGCTGGGTGTTTAGCAGTCCTGGGCTCCCTCTCTCTCATCGCTCCGACTCCTCTCCTCCTACCGGGGAGCTCTGGTGAGGGGCGCTCCGGTCCCGCCGGGCTGTGGCTTGTATCTTACCCCCTTCATGAGGTGCTGGGTTTTTGCAGGTGTAGATGTAGTCTGACTGTTGTTCTGTATCTTCTGGTCTCTCTTTTCAGAATAGTTGTATTTGTTGTATTTTCAAAAATATGTATGTTTTTGGGAGGAGATTTCCACTGCTCTACTCATGCCGCCATCTTGGCTCCACCTCTCCAATCACATACCATTTTTAAAATGTGAGACCAGTAGTAATGGGCATTCTAAGAAAGAGAGTGAGGTCAACTCAGAAAATTATGAGTATTGCTATTCAAGGTGATAATCACATGGAAAGCTTTACTAGCGTTTTCCTACTTCGTTAATCAGAGTATTGCAGCTGGAAAGCAAATTAACTACATATTCCAAAATACCACATACAGTATTTGAGTTATGGAGGCCTTTGGTCTGTGCACATATTTAAAGATGCTAAAGAAACTACCGTGACATCATCTTGAGGTGTTGGAAGGTCTGATGGGAAAATTGACACTAGGCAGAATACTCAGGTATTTTTTTTTTTTTTATCTTTAGATGTCCTAAACCCTGAAACTACTCCAAGCACTGAGAAACCTCTTAGAAGGAATTAATGTGGGGTTACTTTCTAAGGTCTAGGGATGCACTGGGTAGAGAGACCTTTCACCTTTCGTAGGAATGAGGAGAGTCAGGGAGGTTGCAAAGAGCTTAGAGTGGGCCAAACTTGGTATAGGGGTAAGTGGAGAATGCCAGTTCTTTCCAAGAATTAGACCAATGAGACAAAGTTGTTACAGTCAGAAATGTGATTAAACTTTGGTAGTATAAATGCATGGCAAGATGTTTTGCCAACTGATCTCAGGAGCTGTGGGAGCTATACTTTCTTATTGATTACTCAGCTGAAGGGAAGGTCTAGAAACAAAATTATGTAATTTAGTTGGTACAGTAATAGTGTTTGATAGGGGAGTTTTAAGTCAAAGTACAATGACATTTCTCACTGGTGTAATAGAATTATTTTTTTACAGTCCCCTTAAATCTCATTATTGGTCACTCTGAAATGCCATACATAATTGAAAGGATTTTTCAAGGGTAGCTTTGTGATTCTTCAAAAACGGCTACGAATTTTTGCAGTTAGCATTAGGTCAAAGATTTAAATATAATATACAAGTAATTTAATGGAGTCAGAAAAATAATACAAGATTTATTCTGCTGGATAGTTTTTACCAGTGTTATGTTCAAAATTGTAGACTTACAAGATAAGAAAACTTGAACTTTTCAGTGAATGTTTTAAAGGTAATCTTGTTTACTGTTACTTCAAGAATATCAGTCCAAATATTCAGTAAATATTTTTTTCTTTTGGGGAAGTCATCTTTGCTAGATAAAAAAAGATATTAAATGTTAGGCCTTGACCTCAAGTAACAGATAAACATAACTTAGCTATCATGTAAGGCAGAGTGAAATTGCTGAATTGAGAGACATCCTGTCAGACTGAGGCCATCAGAGATGCTCTCCCAGCACGAGTAGGATTTTGATAGAGAAGTTCTGGAAGGACATTCCAGGAAGAGGAATACGTTTTTGCAAAGACACAGAGGCACACAAGCTCTTGACCTGGGTAGGAAGTAGTAAGTGGTTTGTGGCTAGAACCACTGTAGTGCTTGGAAAGAAGTTGGATGAAATGAGGCCAGGGTTGGCTGCTGTATTTTGCAGGAGCTGGGTGATTGAGAAGCGGCTCCCTTCAGGAGCAAGATGCTAGAGAAACAGGTGCTACTGGAGTCTAGCTGGAGAAGTAAGCTGGAATCTGGAAGAGAAAATCCTTTCTCCTCTAGTGTACCTTCAGCTCTTTCTGCTGACAAAGCCTATCATCATGCCAGCTGGCAAAAGAGCAGTATTTGAAGGGTCCATCTCTCTCTTTGCAGGGCAGCCAATAATGGGTAGATTTGAAGATCAGAGATAATAAATTGATAGCTAGCTAAAGAACTATGTCAAGCCATATGCCAGTGTGGAATACATTATGTTTTGGGTTTAAAGAATATATCAGTTATTCATCTCAGAATAGCTAATCAAAATTTAAGAGTACATATCCTTGTAATATTTTCAGAAATTTTGTTTTGAATTACTACAAAAAGCAATTCATGGTCACTAAAAAGGATTGAACAGTATAGAAGTGTTTGAAATATATAAACTTCCCTCTTACCCCTCAGTCCCTTACCATCTGTTCCATCCATGTCTCCTGAAGATAAAACCATTGTTAACAGAGTTGGTGTGTATTGTTTTTCTTTGTACAGATATATGTATGTAATAGAGGTTGTTTGGTAACCCTAATCAGTTAACAATTTTTAGTATAGCCTAGATGTTCATATTTTTCCATGTGTTTTGAAACTTAAATTCTGCTTACTGTGTGACACATTTATACATGACTATGTGTATATTGCTGGCTATGTATACAATGTAAATTTCAGTGGAATTTATAACTCAGACAATTTTTTTGTGTTTTTCTTCAGAAAAATTGTGCAAAAATGTCTCTGTACCCATCTCTTGAAGACCTGAAGGTAGATAAAGTAATTCAGGTATGCTTACTTTGTTTAAATACTTTTTTTTTCTCCATATATTATTATGTCATACATTGTAGTGGTAGGTGAAGTGAAGCAGGAAACTTAAATAGCAGATGTATTTGTTCATCTTTATACTTCATATACTTTGTTTCAGTTTATTAATTGCAGACCAAAAAGTTACAGAAAAGTTAGCCACTCCTTTTTCATTTTAATGTGAATTAATGGGTATGGTATATTTTTTCTTTAAATTTGGACTTAAACTCTTCAAAGATAGTTGGGTTTAATGAATAAAATTTAAGTTAAATACAACATATTTAAGTTGGTAAAAATCACTCCCAACATTTTAGATATTCATAGTATTGTTTAAAATTTGTATATTTTTCTTTTGCATCTTCAGGGCTGACCAATTGTTAAAATAATTTTTTGCCTTCTTTTTGAAGATAAAAATTATAGAAATAGTGAATTACATACTACTTTTAGAACAGCAATAGTGTAAAAGCACAGTGAAAGCACAATGATTTATTTCCTTTTAAGATGTAAGCAGCAGACCTCTCATGTGTTCATGCTCTAATTGACTGTGTTAGAGATTACAGTATTTCCATTTTCATTAAGTCAGAATTTTTTGTAGTCTTTCGTGCATGTATTAGCTTTGCAGATAGATGCTTCTGCTTAAGAAAAAAATTTGAATTTGGGATCAATTCTTGCTATTTTGCAACTTTTTATTACTCTAGAATTTCTAATGAGATAATTTGCAGTATTTAATGAACCCATCTTGTTTCCAGTTTACTTTTAAGTTTATCTCTTATAAACTCAGAATTTTTCATTTGTTGGTTATTCTTTTAATTTGACAAGTTAAATCAAACACCTAGTTGTACTTTTTCATTCCTAAAACTTTTTAATGTGATGTCTGTGATAAAATTCTTTTTGAGTTTAGTACTTTAAGCTGCTTATCTAAAGGTTATTTTACTTGAGGTCTTAACCTCAGTTGACCTTAGTGTGAGATATACTTCTTAGTCCTTATTTAATGAGCATAAAAAGATTATTACAAATTTGAGAGATATGTTAAGCAAGCTCAAGAATACAAGTGTTTTTAGGCAAAATATGTTGGCCTTCTTAGATTGGAGGCTTCCTCCCCCCATAATAGTAACAAATGTGTGGCTGAAATTACTTTGTAGCAATGATTGGGTAAATATGGGAGTAGATCATGAACAGGTTTTCCATCATAGATCCATTATGGATATTAAGATGTGGTTTGTAAAATCTCTACAGTCCACCACTCAGCTGTCGAGTCTCTAATGCCTCACAGTTTTAGATGGCCTGTTCAGTTACCATCTTAATTGCTATATCACTTCTTTCTTCAGTATTTTTCTCATGGGGTTTTTATTTCCATAGAGTTCATCTGAACAAGCATAGTTTATTTATTATTATTATTTTTAATTTTTTTATTTTGATATCATTAATGTACAGTTACTTGAACAACATTATGATTACTATACTTCCCCCATTATCAGGTCCCTCCCACATACCCCATTTCAGTCACTATCCATCAGCCGCAGTAAGATCAAGCGCACTTTATTTTTAAAAAGCTTTTATCTGAAACTTAGCCTTTAAGAATAACAAGTCATTAATACATCAGAGCATTAAGTGGTGGGATTTGCAGATGGATCTGAAAGAATGACTAACCTGTTTTCATCCTTGCCTGTTAGTTTTTTTTTTTTTTTTTTTTTGAGAGGACATCTCTCATATTGATCAAATGGTTGTTAACAACAATAAAATTCAGTATAGGGGGGTCAATGCTCAATGTACAATCATTAATCCATCTCAAGCCTAACTCTCTCGTCAGTCTCCAATCTTCTGAAGCATAACGAACAAGTTCTTACATGGTGAACGAATTCTTACATAGTGAATAAATTCTTACATGGTGAACAGTACAAGGGCATTCATCACAGAAACTTTCGGTTTTGATCACGCATTATGAACTATAAACAATCAGGTCAAATATGAATACTCATTTGATTTTTATACTTGATTTATATGTTGATCCCACATTTCTCCCTTTATTATTATTATTATTTTTATTTTTAATAAAATGCTGAAGTGGTAGGTAGATGCAAGATAAAGGTAGAAAACATAGTTTAGTGTTGTAGGAGAGCAATTGTAGATGATCAGGTGTGTGCCTGTAGACTATGTGTTAATCCAAGCTAGACAAGGGCAATAAACCATCCACGGATGCAGAAGATTTCTCTCAAAGCAGGGGGGATGAGGTTCTGAGCCTCACCTCTGTTGATCCCCAATTTCTCACCTGATGGCCCCCCTGCGACTGTGCCTGTCTTAGGTTGTTCCTCCCTTGAGGAATCTTACCCGTCTCTGGCTAACCAGTCATCTTCCCTGGGGCCATACAGGGAAATGTCAAGTTGGTAAGTGAGAGAGAAGCCATATTGTTTGCAAAGGTTACCTTTTTACTTCTTTGCAGATTTATGCCCTGTGGCTTCTATGCCCAGCACTTGTCTCGAGGTATCTTTACCACCTGGAGGAATTATGATACTCGGTAACTTCGATATGAGGCACGAATTCTATTTAAGGGTTGTAATTAGGAAGGAAGAAGAAAAGCTATAGAGGTAGCATATGGAAGAAAACATGGGAGGATTGATTATTTCTTTGACATATCTTCTTGTAGAGTACCTTAAGTATGTATAGGTTTTAAACTACTAACTAATTTGCACACACATATTAACATAATAGGAATACAGTGACATAAACAAAGCAAATCTATAATTACCATCCATCTCCAGTGAAGCCAAGAAAACCATTTAGGCACCCTAGGCATTTGTGAAAATTTGTCTATGATATGATGGATATTGTCCAACTGTACTTGAACAGTCTGAGAGAAATCAGACAAATTAAAGCAGCCCATTTCTGGGATCTGTTCACCTCCCATATGTCCTTTTAACCGTAGATAGTCTATAGTCATAAGATTTTGGAGTGCTACACCTTGCACCCCTCCCAACTCCTGGTTGAGTTCCAACAGTACAGATCCGGTCAAATTCGTTGTCTCACTGTATGCACATGCCAGCCTAGACATCTCCCTCCTCATTCCAATGGCAAGTCCAGGAAACGGTGGGGTGGACACAGCCACGACCGCAGCCTGTTAGTTTTTATGGAGTTGAACCCTTAAATTAACCATAGTTGACTGTGAGCAGAGGTTTTTAATTTTTAAAACAGAAAAAGAAGAAAGAGGCTGACCTCTTTAAGGAAGAGCAAATTATATGAGTATTTCCATTAGAAGACCTTTTATTTACCAAGTGGAAAGCTAAGCTACACAGGGATAGAAAGAGTAAGGAGGGGGAAACACTGTTTCTTTTTTTCTTGGTGAATTTAAAAATATTCCTAAACTAGGCACTAAATTAAAGCTTTATTTTTTTTTATCATTTTCTATGAGTAATAGTACTTTATTTTTGTTATTGAGATCCTACTGCATAGGTAGTATTTATTTTGTAACTGGGCCTTTACCCCACAGCAAAACAAAATTGCAGTAGTGAACAGACAATTCATGTTTTGTAAAATAAACTATGTTATAATATCCATTAGGCTGAGGCTTTCCGCATATCATTGCTGAACCTCTTTCCATTATGCATCCTTAACAGGAGCCTACAGTTGCTATACCTATAAAAAATAAGCATATAAGATTTACAGTGCAGATTAATGAAGTATATACTATTCATGCTTTTGTAAGCTGTACTTACTTAAATTAAGCTTCCATCTCACCAGGTGTCTGTGGGACTACTCTTGACATTAATTTCAAGGCTAGGTTGACTATAGGTATAAACCTCATTACTTAATTGAGATATTTCTGATTAAAATGTGATATTAGAGATAGGTCATACAATTTATTACCACCCTTGTCTCTGAATGACATACAGCTGTTTCAAAAAGCAGATCTGTCTGTAAAGGAGAAATTATTTCCATTAGTGGAATATTTACTGTGACGCAGGCTATGAAGACAGCCCTAAAGGGAGGGAGTTCCTGGCATACTTGAGCATGAGTAGTATTCATAAATATATACATTGTCAGAGTGATTTTGGCAAGTTTATTCAACAGTTGATGAATTACATTATTTTATCATCAGCCTTTTATGTCACTGATAAATATGTGTGTTGAATACTTGGTAGTTTTTTTCATTTAATATAGTGTAATCACTAAAGTTTGTTAAAATGAAGATAAAGATTATGTTGGTAGGATATGCTAAAATCAAAATAAATATTAGCAACTTTATAAGCATTTAAATTTTTAGGTTTTTTTTCTGGTATTTGACTTTTTGTATGAATGTGGTTGAGCTTTTTTTCTTACACAGATAAAACATTTTTACATAAACTAGTTAAAAGAATATTCCCCAATTTAGGGAATATTAATTTGCAGCAGCACTATGAAATATTGGTTATAAAATACATAGAATGGTGCTTAGTCATGTTTTACATGATAGTGTTAAACTATTTAGAGTATGAAATATATTTTTGATTTGCAGATTTTCTTTGAAAAATATATTGCTGGAATGCTTGAAATTAAACTTTCTTGAAAAAAAACAAGTTAATTTCTTTTTAGAAGGACTGAATTTAACTTATAAATTACATGAGAATTTTAATTAAGTCTATAGCTACAGCATTGTTGTAACTTTTCTTCATTCCTTTTGCAGGCTCAAACTGCCTTTTCTGCAAACCCTGCCAACCCAGCAATTCTGTCAGAAGCTTCTGCTCCCATCTCTCAAGATGGAAGTAAGTTTATACTTGGGGTTTATTATTCTTGAACAGAAATATATTTACATCTTCTTTTGCTCAAATAGGGAACCCAAGATATTTTTTTTTAACACACAGCATAAAATCGTTAAAAGAAAAAATTATTTTAAACATAACCCTTTAATCAAGAAAGTGAAATGTATGAATATGTAAATGTGTTTTATGGCTTAATGAAAATTAAGTGAATTAAATTTTAGCCCTCATAATTCCCTAACTTACGATTGAGTCGTTTATTTAAAAAACCTTATATGTGAATTGTACCCCATGCTACTGCTCTAAAGTGGCCAAACTTACATATATTCTCTTTCTGGGATGGGGAAGTGGGGGGTTGAAATATCTAGCCATGTCCTTTTAGGGGAGCTTCTCAAATCCTGAAATCTCTACCCAGTCTCCAAATCCTTCTCTTTGGTTTCTTTTCCTTCTAAGTTCATAGGGGTTCAGTACAAAGGCCCTAATTAATATGGCTTAAGATACAAAAGGAATGTTAAATAGGTTTTTGTGGCCTGTCATCTTTTAACTATTCATAACATAGTTTCTCTAAGAAAATATATTTTAAGTCAAATAAATCATGTAAAAAGAAAAGCTTTTGGAAATAGTGCTTTACTATTAAGTTGAATACTATTAATACTTAAAGACATTGTTTCCAGGATTTCATTGGAATGTGGTTAACAGTTTAAAATGATAGGACACTAAATAAATTTACAAGCTTGGATTTTTTTTTATTATTACAGTTCAGAAGAATCATTTTATAGTTTTATTACTTATTACTAAATGAGATAGAAAGTAGCTGGCTTGACAGTAAACATTTTGGTCACTTGTTCTGAATGGGAGAATCAGTGTTGTGCTTATACAAATCCTAATCAAACAAGTTTATTTTAAGAAAAAGGAAAGGCAGAATAACTTATTTCTACTCTTGAGTAATTATAAATCTGAGGTTCAGTTCAAATGTCACTTCATAGTCTATGACTTCCACCTTAAACATTTTCTGTATTTCCTATTTCTATTTGTCATTACAGAGATAGGGATGTGTTTTTCCAAATTGCTAGTTTAAATTCACCCTAGATTTTATAAATATAGTGTAATTATTTAACACAAGTAAAACTCCATAATAACACTTTCCATTTTGAATATTATGTCAGTGTTTTTTCTTTTATTCATTCATTGTTCATTTATTTATATTAGGTCTCTATCCTAAATTGTATCCGGAGCTTTCTCAGTACATGGGCCTCAGCTTAAATGAAGAAGAAATACATTCAAATATGGCCATGGTCCCTGGAACACAAGTTCAGGGGGTATGTACAGTTAGTATAATTCACCAGTTAAATTATATAAAATTATGCTTTACACATAGTATAAACTGTCCTCTTTGTGGTTAACTCACAGATTTATGACTTTAGCATTGATTTCCCTTCTCAGAAATTTTATACTGCCTTCTGGTTATCACTTCTTAAGAAGTCTGCTTCATTTTGTGCTAGTTCCACTTTTCTAATTTATTAGAAGTTAAAGATGCAGATGCTTTTGACTAGTCCATTCTTCTTTGTCTTCTACATTTATTCAGATACTAAGACCTAGTGATTCTGTCTTGTTTCTTGTGTTCATTGATTCCATTCCTACCATAACCCTATTCAGGGTTTCTGTACTTCTGATGTAGATTATTATAGTAGTCTTTTACATTTCTTCTAGTAAATTCTACCAAGCAGCACTAAGCTGCTGTTGGATTGATTATTGGGTTAATCATTCTGAAGTAAAGGTCTATCATTTTTTTTTTTTTGGGCTAATAGTCTTTTTAACATTTTGAAACCTAGAACCCCTTGTAATTAGACTGCAAATTCTAGGCTTAAACATACTGTATCTCACAGCTTTTAACTAAAGTCATTTCTGTAAAGTGCTATAATTTCATTTTACAGCACTCACTATGATTGTACTTAAATACTTCTGTGAAGACAGAGTCCTTCACTGTCTTGTTGCAGTAACCCCAGTGCTTAATAGAGTACCTGGATTTATTGTACAAAATATTTATTGAAAACTTGCTCATATTAGGGTCCATTTTGAGAAAACAGAAATCACAGTAGATATTTCACCAGAGATAATATAAGAAATATAGAGGCTGAACAATCGGAAAAAACAAAAATGGAACAGATGTAATGTAGAAAGTAGCTGGGTGTCAGAGGGAAGAGGTTGGAGTTAGCAGAAGCTACAAGCTTAGGTGAAGAACCCTGTGGAGCTGGGCCTCAGAACTTGGATGAGGGGATACTGTTGTCGGTGCTGGTACCTCTGTGGGGTTGCAGTAAGGCTGGTTCTGGGAGTATCAGTAAAAGCTGGAGAATGGAAGCAAGAGGCACTCATCCCTCCTGCAGCCTGCCCGCCTGTCTCCCTCCAGTGCCTCATGTGGTCGATGCTAACCAGAAACCCGCTGACTGAGGAAAAGGTAATTTGCACAGTTCAAACCCCAGCATCATCACCAAGTAGAGTTCGGAAGGGTGGCTTTGAAGCTGACAGGCTGTAGCTTAATACCTGGCACTGCCTATTCCTTTGACTACTCAGTATATCCACATACTCTTGCAGATGTTTTAACTTTATGGGACAGCACCAGCAGCTTTATAGTTTCTCCTTGAAAGGTGCAATTCAGCGGAAATTTGAGGTTCAGTAAACTATTTCTACTAAGGGACTCAGTATTTTAGGCTTTGCTGGCAACACATGGTCTATGTTGCATATTCTTGTTTTCTTTGTTTACACCTTTTAGAAATATAAAAATCATTCTTAACTTGGGTGTACAAAATCAAGCCAGTTACTTCTGATAAAATGAAGTTACTCTTCCTGTTTTCCCAAAATGGGATGGCAGCATGTGATAAGAAGGTAGGGAGGAATAAAAAGATTAAGTGCTGCATTTCCAGAACATTTACAGATACAAGCAGAGAAGACAGGCGTAGCTGCTGGGATTCTTACTTTGTAATGGTCATGAGGCTGTATAATTAATATTATGATTTCCTTTGCTTCACATTCTTTACCGTCTTTGTCCTTGGCTAGGACTTCAGCTGGTCTCTTTTTAGTACTTTGTGGGGTGAAAAAAAGACCTTCATTTTTCAAGTGTCTAAATCTCCAGGGCTCTTTAGTTTCTTTTTTGTTTTAGTTAATTTTTATTTGTTGCTGGAGATTTCTGTTAACTTTTCCTGTCTAGTGCATTTCTCATTTCACATGTAATTTTCTTCTCTAGATGTTCCATCTGGTTTTTATCTTCTTTTTCTTTTTTCGTTCATTGTTTCCCTTAAATCATTGAGCATATTGAGCATATTTAGAGTAGCTGTTTTTTTAAATATGTCTGCTAATTTCATGTTGTTATTTCTGAATTAATATTGATTCTTTTTCCTGATTAAGGGTTACATTTTCCTGCTTGTTCACATGCACCTGTTCTTAATTGTAGCTGGATGTAGTGAGTTTATGTTCTTAGGTGCTTGTGTTGGCACATGTTCTGGCAGGCAGTTAAGTTACATGTGGATCAGCTTGATCCCTCTGAGGCTTGTTTTTACACTTGGTTGGGGTAGGTCTGAAGCAGCCTTTCCTGAAGGGCTACTGTAGCCCCACTATGAAAGTGTGCCCCTCTGGGTTCTCTTCTGGGTGCCCTGGGTATTCAGTGGCACACTCTACTCTGGCTGGTGGGAATTTTGAATGTCTCCCAAACCTGTGACCTCTGGGGACTACTCAGCTTACAGCTCTCTGCATGTTCTTTGCCTGGCTTTGTGGAGCTTTACACACACATAACTGGATTAGTATTCAGCAGGACACTCAAAGGGTGCCCTGTACAGATTTCTGGAGCTCTTTGTGGTAGCTCCCTCCTCTTCTGGATTCAGCCCTGAAAATTCCACTGCCTTACCAGTTGCTTCATTTTTAAAGACCTCTGATCTTTGTTTCCTTGACTTAATCAAGAGCACAGTCCTCTACCTGGGATTTGCACATTGTGCACCAGTTCATACAGTGCTCTAAGCAGGAAACCAGATGATGATAGGGCTTGCCTCATGTGTTTTCCTTCACTCAGGGATCACTGCCCTGTGCTGCCAAACATCTGCTGTCCAAACACTTGGCTCCTATTTTTCCAGTTGTCTAGTTGTTTATGGCAGGAGGATAAGTCATAATGCCAGAAGTCTATTTTGCTACCACTTTTACTGTTAGACATGGAAGACCTAAATATCTCATATCTCAAAGAACCTCCTGGGTTCCATATGTAGTCCTGAACCTGTTATATATTTGAAACCCATTTTACTGTTGGTAACCAGAGTTCATCACTGCGGCCAGTTCACTCTTGCCCCAATTTCAGTGACATGGAAGTCTTAAACAATTGTGTAGTGACTTTTCTGATTCAGGGGAAACATTGTCATGTCCCTTACTGGAGGCATTCTTCCCTGATAACTAAGCTCTCAAGACTGTATGCACAGCTCAAGGATGTGAACTTGGGATGCAAGTTTTGTGTGTGGTTTATATACAACAGTGAGAGGGGCCATTCCCACAGTCACACCTAGGTTTCCAGATCTTACATTTGGGCCTTGGAAGAAACTGTATCATGTATTTGATTGTTCATCCAAAGCATATGTTGTGTCCTATAAGGTTGGAACCCCAACCTTTAACATGTTTCTTCCACTGGCTTCTGAACTGAATGATGAGAGCTAGTAACTTAAGAGTTTGCACACTCTAGGCACTGTGCTAAGTGTGGTAGATAGAATAGTGAACCACAGTGGCTCCCCCTGGTCCTGCTGTAGTGAAACTCATATTCCAGACAAACCAGTGCTTATGACTTGTGAAGTAAATGGAAGAAGAATAAGTGAATCAAGTGCCAGGGCTATTTTCTGATACAGTGAGTGTATGTTCTCTCTGAAAAGTTGATATTTGAGCAGAGAACTGAATGAAATGAGGGAGAAAGGCATGTGAGTATCTGGTGGGAGAACATTACATACAGTATAGGTGGACAACTTGAAGTCCTTCAGGCAGAAATGAATGTGGTAGGCCTGGAAAACAGGGCCTGTGTGTTGGGCAGAGAAAATGAGGCAGGACATGGTAGCTGATGGCATTAGGGTAGCCAGGGCCAGGTGGGCTATGTCCTGGTATAAGGGCTTGGGATCTGAGGTGTGAGAGTGGCATAATGTGATTTTTTTTTTGTCGGTTACTGTAGTAGCCCTCATCAGAAATGGTTACTTGTTTAGAATGGAGGAGGGATCAGAAGTATCATGGAGTTGGTTAAAATGTTCATAGTTAAGTAAGAACATAAATATGTATTTAAAAATACAGGAAAAAATAAAGATGTCTTTCTTAGAAGTAAAACCCACACAAAAGTCCCCGCTTTTGTCCTATATCCCAGCTAAACAAAATAATTTGCTGCTGAAGTTGTTCCTTTTATATCCCATTGCCTGATTTTCCTGTCTCTCATAGCTGTAATTGTTTCTTCTTTTGAACCTTTATTATCTTTAAATAATATTTTTTGGCATTGTTCTGATTTTTCTAGCATTGTTACTCACGTTGTCAGTTTTAGAATATGCTGTCATAATTACCATGAATTCTGAATGAAAGAATGTGCAGTTCGTGGTGTATGTGTAGCTGTTTCCTCTTTTACTATCATTGCCCTTCTGAGCATCATAATTCTTAGATAGATCCTTGAGCTTTTTATGACAGATTGCAATTAAAAAGCCTCAGTAAGCTCTTCCCTCACTGTCCTTTTGGTTAAGGAAAGGATCCACTTAAAACAAATCAATTTTGGTCAAGAAAACTTGAAACATGGTACCTGACCTGAGTCACTAGTACCACTATTAAAAGGCAGTCTGGTTTGTGCACACAGTTGGATAGTCCATAGATGTTTATTAAAGGAGATGGGAAATAATATGTGAATGTCCTATGTGCCAGCATGCATATAACATATACTTTTATTCCTCACAATGGCACTGAGAAGTAAAAATAAGTTATTCCTTTTATAGAAATTGTACAAGGGTAAGTAGATCACTGAAGATCAGACCATATAAAAGAATCCTCTGGAAAAATGTGTGCTTCAAAAGTATGTTGTGGCCTTTAAGTTCACATTTAAGTTGAAGATGAACCAAAGTACACATGAAACAAATGCCTGTGAATTCAGAAGGCAGAAGAGAGTAAATCACTGACTATTGGATATGGTAAATGTGGGGAGAAGTTACCTGAGGATTTAGTAAATAAAACCAGGGTCATATTTGCATAAATCAAACTATATCTGAAGGAATAATTTGCAAATTGTTTCTTAGAAACTACAGCTGGTTATCGTTTTTGATTTTTTCCAGGGAGAATGTTTCTAAATGTTGACACATTGTATTTTTATTAGCAGCTGGTAGCAAGACCTTCTAGTATGAACTATATGGTGGCTCCTGTAACTGGTAATGATGTTGGCATTCGTAGAGCAGAAATTAAGCAAGGGATTCGTGAAGTCATTTTGTGTAAGGATCAAGATGGAAAGATTGGGCTTAGGCTCAAATCAATAGATAATGTAAGTATTTTTACTGTCTATTTTAATCTGTCTAAATAGCTTGTAGGATGTCTCGTGATCAATGTTAGAATGATTTAAAATGCAAATGCTTTAATTATAACAGTGATCTTATAATCGAGAATATTGTAAATCTACTAACTTAAATTTTTCTTTTTGGAGATGCCTTATTCAGAAGAGGCAGACTTAGGACTTCCATCATTACCTTGAATGAATTTATTTTTTTCTTTTTTGAGTGCTCTTCCTGGAATAAAGTTCACTGGTATATATATATATTATAACTTAGTTTATACAAAAAGAATCCCAGGATTGAAATAGGGCAATGTTCCTGGAAGCTAAGAGTAATGAGTGAGAATCAGCAGTCTTAGGATTGCCAAATGCTGATCATTTAACTTGTACTTTTGCAAGTTTGTTATTTCCATCCTCAAATTTGAATTTAATAGGTCATTTTCGGAGCGAATGTGACTTTTCTTATTAGGGCAGCCATTGCTTTATACTTATAATTACCTCTTACCACACTGACGAAGAGGATTGCTCTCTGAGGAAGTTTTTAGGATTGTTAAGGACATGCTGAATCTTTACCACGATTTATGGTTTTAGGCATTACTTTATTGGATTCATTTTTAGTCTTCAGTCTCGTTAGTTCAAGTCTGTCCAATCTTTCCTCGTAGAAAATGAGTGTGGTACACTGTGGTTAATGGCTGAGGCTGACCTTGCCAGGCAGCCTCTCCCCTGCCTGCCTACCCAGAGGGCTGAGGGCATCAGTGTCTGCACACTTCTAACTTGTGTAGACACATCAGTGTGCCTCCATGTGGAACTCTGATTTCACTGCTCTCCCTTCCTGGTAGTGAATAGTATATATGTTTCCCCTCTGCCAGGGTTTCTTCTGTCTCTTCTTCTGTCCTAAAGGGACAATACGTAGGCCCCTATTCTCAACTGCATTTATCTTTGGAGTAGATTTGCTCACTTGGCCAAAGCTCATTGGTCTGACCACTTAGAGGGTGCTGTTAGTTTTCATGTAATGCTCTGGAGTATGTGACATGGGACAGAAATCATGTCTGATCCAGCCTATGATGGTAGAAAGGGTCTAGCCTTGTACATGCTTCATATTTTACCAGGTTTACTTTTCTTTATAAACTTGTTGATATTTTAACATCTGAGATTGAGAGTTTATATAATTAAGAATATCCATATGGATTTAGTTCTTAGTTAACCATACTTGAGTTTTCTGTATTTACTTCAGAGTAGATTCTTTACAGGAGTGGTATTGAATGTGCCTACCTTTTTAAGCTGATAAATAACCCTAATCTCACCTAGTTATGCATAATTTAACAAGTGGCTAAAGGAAGTAGACTTAATGTCCTTAAACTGTCATTTTTTTTAAACTGTAAAAGAAGTCACTCAACATCCAACACTTGACTCACTTTGCTCCCAAATAATGGTTATGTACTAATACTGTTTGGTATTCTGACTCATAAACACTTACCTTTACTGTAGTATTCCTCCTTGATTTTCCTTGGTCTTTTTATTCCAAGATGAAAAGTGTAATGAGGTTGATCAGGTGGGTCATGATTTGAGGTACAAATCACTACTGAGATCACACTTTTTGCCTTGTTTCTTGGGGTTTGCCTTGATAAAATTTACCATTTCTTTTTTGGAGATAACCATACATAATACACTCATGAAATGTTTCTTTTTATTACTAGGGTAGATTCCTATTCCTAAAAAATGAGGGTAGATTCCTCATTTTCCAGCATTTTTAAGGTATATCATAACAGTGGTAAATGACCAAAGTAATTTTCTTACTCTCTAGGGTATATTTGTTCAGCTCGTCCAGGCAAATTCTCCAGCCTCGTTGGTTGGTCTGAGATTCGGGGACCAGGTACTCCAGATCAATGGGGAAAACTGTGCTGGCTGGAGTTCTGATAAAGCACACAAGGTGCTCAAGCAGGCTTTTGGAGAGAAGATCACTATGACAATTCGTGACAGGTAAGCTGGCTGAACAGTTCAAATGAAAATGCAAAATCAGTTTTCCATTTTCTTGGCCATAGTATTTTGTTATAGAAAATGATCATATGTTATTGATTAGCCTTAGTCTTGCAATTTTGTGGTGTAGGTTTTTCTTACAGTTTGATTTTTTTAAAAAGCATTCTGGTTTTGCACATCTTATTTCAGATCATACATAAATTCATGTTCTAACAAGTTACTTTTCTGTCTTAATCTGTTTCTGTAGAACATAGAAAATGTACATTGGAAAAGTAAGGAGCATGGCATCTCTGGCTTGCCTGTCCAATTTACTGTTTTGATATTCAGCCTAGGGTGTAGATGTTCAGTGCCAAAGTCCCTGCAGAACTCCTAAGTGTTCTATGAGTTCTAAAAACCGAAACTGGCCTTTTGGGTAGTTATGAAGCTGTAGTTGTCAAGGTGGGAGGATGGGACATTTTATTTAGCATTTAGTTTGCTTATAGCTAAAACAGCACATGGAATATGGGCCATTTATTTTCTTGTTCCAGCCCTCACATGACCAAAGGGTGGACCTATGTCACATTGTTAAAGATAGCTTTTGGTTTTTATTCTTTTCCAATAAACTTTTGTTTAATCTACCTTTGTTTCAAGTTTCTCACAGATGGTAGGTATTTAGCAAACATTTTGTTAGATGAACACCATTTTTGCTTTATATTTGAAGAAAATGTGAAAGTAACATGGACCAACAGAAAGATATAACTGTTCTGAATTTTAAAATGCAAACACAGGTTTAACATAAAAACCAAATACCATGTAAGAATTGTTCTAGAGAGGTGAGCAAGTGTAATCGTCATGACAGCTTTTGAAAGTAGTCAGCCCAGTTGCCTTCCTTTTAAAATACGGCAAAAATATTAAAGATGTTCAGTAAAGATGTGAGAAATACTAGAAAAGTTTTAAATAAAACCAGTATTTCCTAAGAGTAATTAAGATCCAAGAAAAACTGAAATCTAGTAATAGATAAAAAAATTTTAACACTGAGTTTTCAATATTTTATTAAACAAAATATTAAATTTTGGTGAATTCTAAAGGAAAAAGCATACTGATGAACTGCATGAAGCACTGTTCAATTAAGTCATTGACACTTGAAGAAAATCTTTATTAGTAGGTTAGGTAAACCATAATGGATTTTTTTTTTAAGGTAAACTTTTGTTCTAGGATGTTCTGTGAATGTACATTATCAGAGCCATACTAAGATGCTCATTAGAAACACTGAGGTTATTAGAGTATCCAGGAGTGTAACAAGAAAGAAGTCCATTCAAATGCTTATCAAGGAATTAAATTTTAATTGAACCCATTATGTTTATAGGCCCCTTGAACGGACAATTACCATGCATAAAGATAGTACTGGCCATGTTGGCTTTATCTTTAAAAATGGAAAAATAACATCCATAGTGAAAGATAGTTCTGCAGCCAGAAATGGTCTTCTTACAGAACATAACATCTGTGAAATCAATGGACAGAATGTCATTGGATTGAAGGTAAGGAACAGAATTTATGTCTTGTTCTGCTAGTTTTATTTTAGCAGATGTCTTTTTTGTCTGTCTCTTCAGGTGGTACTGTTTGCATATTGACCTCCAAAATACAGAAAGTGGGGAGACAGGCGACATGGGATCTGGGGCTATGGCTGTTCTGTTAGGTGCACCCTCAGGCCCATCAGAGGAAATTGTCAGGGCTATTACCTGGAATGGGAATTGCTGTTCTATGGCAAGGGGGCTGAACTAGATGATTTCTGCCTAGAATTCTGTGGAGATGTGAGCATTGAAGATTTTGATGACATTTTGAATGAATGATTGCCCAGGTTATTTCAATCCAGGAATTGTAGGAAATAAGAAGTAGTTTCTGTTCATGTGAATACTTCATTTTTATTTATTTTTCTCTCTCCACAAATTCCTAAAGGGGTCTATCTTAAAGTCTGAAGGTTTTCACTAAGACCTGCTCATTTTATAAACTTTGGTTAAGAACACATAGTTAACCAAGGGGATATGGTAGTGTTGTTGCATATGGGAAAAATTATGAAATCTTAAGTAATGAAAAGATGGATTTTTGGCTAACATTAATCCAGTTTACTTGGCAGTTTTGTTACCACCTATAAAATTGTGATTCTAGAGAATTAAACTTGGTAGGGCAAGCTAAAAACAATTGTAAATTTTAGAGATGTCAGCCAAACATAAGAGGACTAGGATTTTAGAGATGTTGGCAAAACATGTTATTTCTTCACCAAGAATAATGTAGTTTTAAAGCTTCAGTGGAATTAATTTTCATTATGTGTTTGAACAGGACTCTCAAATTGCAGACATACTGTCAACATCTGGAACTGTAGTTACTATTACAATCATGCCTGCTTTTATCTTTGAACATATTATTAAACGGTAAGTAGACATTCTTCAACTTGATGCTTATGGTCATGTAACTTAATATAAGCACTGTGCTTGCTTTTAATTCTCAAACCTTTGGGTCTTTTACTTAAGGGATGACATTGGTTTGGTGTTTATCTAGAAAGTTGTATTTAAATCAAAGAAATTGGTTGGTAATCATGACCCCTCATACCTTCCCAAATAAGAAATAAAAATGGACCATACACTTCTAAATCTTGACATTTCCTAGCAGAAAAAGGGCATGTGAGCAGAGGCAAGTAGGCTTTCATGTCAGCTATCAGTTTTCTGTGAACTTGACTGCAGTTGCATTCTGCCTATCTGTGTTCAGTACAGATCTGCTCATGGGGGTTCATGAGGAAGGATGCTTTCAATGTGGGATGCCAGGAGTAAGAGGTTTTCTTCTGAGCATCTCAGAAGGCAGATTAAGAGAGAGAGAGAGTGTGTGTGTGTGTCTACGTATCTCCTCACGGCCTGATAAGAGTGTGTGTGCGTGTGTGTGTGGCTATGTTATCTCCTCACGGCCTGCTAAGAGAGAGTGTGTGTGTGTGTGTGTGTGTCTGTCGCTACTATCTCCTCACGGCCTGAGGCTTGGTAAGCCGAAAAGGGAGAACTGCAAAGGCGAGGGTCCGTCATCCTGCCTAGAGCTTTTAAAATCCTGGCTTCTATCTTGAATTTGGAAATAAGATTTAAAACATTCAAAAACCATAACATCTGTAATGAAATTTTTGTTTCAGCTTCCATTTAGAATGCAGCTAGTTACTCTTGGGCAGGGAAGGGAGTTTATTGTCAGGACAATTGTTCTCTAGTTTTCTTAAAACCAGTGGCAGGTTCCATCCCCTCTCCCCCCATTTCCCTCTCAATTCATAAGATACTTTCTTTCCTTTCTTAAATCATCAGCTTTAATACACAATGACTTACTTGTATCTTATTTAACTTTTTTTAGGCAAGTACAGATAGCCTTTCACACTGGGTATTTGCAAACAACTAGATGACTTGAGACCCTTAATTCTGAACTCATTAAAAAGACCTCCCCTTCCCTACAATCCTGGCTGATGCTAACAGTTGCTGTTGAGTTGGGGTTTTCTTGCATTAACAAAGTATCTTGGGAAAAGGAAATCCAAACCTCAGCATTTAATAAAGTGACTGTCTTGTAGGATGGCACCAAGCATTATGAAAAGCCTGATGGATCACACCATTCCTGAGGTTTAAAAAGTCAAGGCACAGTGGAAACATGGTTGAACTTCTCCAGTTACTTCTTTGGCAACTTAACTTTATATTATGCACATGAAGCTTTCTAGGAGCCAGAGAGCATATGCTGCATGAGGACCTTTCTGTCTTACATTATGGCTGGGAATCTTACTGTTTGATCTAATATCTTGTTCAGACTTTTAGATAGTTGTAGCCTTATCCTGGTTTTACAGATGTGAAACTTCGTGAAAAGATTTGCTTTCATGGTTTTGTAGTTTCTTTACTGGGAGCCTGTCGCTTTTACAAGCCATTATGATTAGGATGACTGATAGGAGATTAGCTTTGTGTTAGACCAGTCACCTTTATCCTAGATACCAAGTAGGCTCTTCATATTACTTTAATTCTATGGTATATTTACATTTTTACTGCATTACTATAGTACATTTAGAATGATTCTTTTTGACTTTTTTTTTTTTTTAGTTTTGTGTGTATGTAAAACACCAATCAAGTAACACTGGTTTCATTCCATTTAAGCATTATACAGTGTATGTAGGTTGCAAGAGATTGTTATCATTGAAATCATTAAATTTTAACTACCTTCCTTAATATGCTTGAACTGTCGCCTTAACTATGTTAAGCATCTAGAATAAAAGCCAAAATATATTGCTGCCTTTCTAAAACCCAAAATGCAGTTCTGTATTAAACTGAAATGTACTACTAGCCCAGAACAATTTCATGGTACATACCAAGCTATAGTATAGCTGCTTTGTTGCATTTGATATTTTCTAGTCATTGTATAATGCAAACTTCTTCTAAAAGTTATCAGTATCACTTTCTGAGAAATGAATCACTATATATTTAATGTAAAAATTCCTAGACTAAATAGGATAAACTTTTGACTCCCTTTTTTCACTTGTAGGTCAAGTGGGGTAATAATCTCATTTGGCTTTTAACTCTTAACATTATGTAACCTAGCTAATTTGAGATGGTGTTAGAATGTTTTCCTGATGATTTGTTCCATTTCCTGACTCCTCCCTGCAAACAAAATGGCAGTGACATTTTATCCTAATTTTTTTTTTGTATGCCTCTTCTATTTTAATTAAATATGTATAAATAAAGTTCAGTTTTAGTCTGTCTGTTGCATCATTTGGAAACTGTTAGTGGCTTCCACCAGTCTTGCACGTGACCTTGTAAAGACACATGGGGCACTCGGCGGGAGCCTGTGGGAGAGTCCGGGCCTACACAGAGCCTCTGTGCTTTCAGAGCAGGAGGGTTGGGGACAGTGCTTCTGTCCACAAGCCCCACATTGACAGGCCTGCCCACTCTGGCTCCCCAGCAACACCCTAGACCAAGTAATGTTTAAGGACACTTAAAGTTGACTTTGAAAATTCTATTACCATAGTCCTATTCAAGTTTTTCCCCTAAATCATACCACAGCAGTTGTTTTTAAAGAGTATAGAAAAATTTTAAATCACATAATCACTGTAGTTCAGAAGTTGACTATGAAAGAAAATCAGTACTATTACTTTTACAGCTTACCCTGTTTAAAATACAGAAAAGCAAACCAGTATTTCCCAGTTTGATCATCTACTCTGCTATCTAGACTTGGGTCTGAAGATAGTTCTAAAAGTATGAGAGAATGACAATCACATCCCTAAGTATGGTTTTCTGAAGAATCAATACTTGAATTTATAAAAAGTACTAGTCTTTGTAATAAAACACTTAATAAGAAAATAAAAACTTTCATTACAGAAAAATATTTTTAATGTAGAAAAGATGAGCATTTGATAGCAATAATGAAACAAACTGTTCCTGTATACAGTAAATTGCTGTAAGAACTGCTAATCCTTCCCCAGGTTCTTAGAATCTGGGACAGTAGGTTATAGGAAGCAACCACTCCATGAAAACACATACGCAAAAGCCCAATGGGCAGCAACTGTAAATCAGGAAGACAAAATAGAGTGACTCTGTAGTAGTAGAGAATACTGCATATTCTTGGAAAATTCTGAATTGTTCAGTGCTTTCTGAAAGTCTCCCTAGTTGCTATCTGCTAGATACTTTCTTTGATACCCAAGCCTGTCTTCTGTCATCATAGTAGGATGATCAGTTGGCCTTATAGATGCCATGTTTTCTAACACTGCCATTATCTTTATCTGCTTCAGAGGATGGCAACTAATGGCTTTCAATGAAGTCATGATTTAGAAAGTTTAAAACCACAACTTGATCATGTGGTAAAAGTTCTCATTACTACCATTGCACACTTACCACTTCATTTAAAAGTTTGGTTTAAAAATACATTAGGTAAAGTTCAATTTAATATTCAAGAGAAGAAAAGGCACTTAGTAATGTAATTTCCAGAACATGATTTGTCTGTCTTCCCCTCCTGTAATGATACTGTTACACTGTTCATTCATCCATATACACGTCACAGCACCTAAGAGAAAGAGACGTTGTGGTTAGGTAGTAAGTTGACCAGAGGCCCCCAGGATATAGTAGTAAGTATTGTGTTGTCTCATCCTATAATAAAATCTTTGTATAAATTACCTTTGTATACGTTAAAAAAACCTGCTTGGAATTTGTGTGGAATGAGAAACCACTTACATGTAAAGCCGAAGCTAAGACAATGGGATTATGGGTACAGAACACAAAGCAAACATTATATATACATACAACCAAAGTCAGGAAACAGATAAGAGGGAGAAGGTGGGAACTGGTGTGAGTTTGCTGATTTCCATTTCTATAGGAAGGAGTCAGAATGTTATTTAAAGCTCGTAAGTTGAAACAAAAAGGCATAGACTTAAACTTTAATGTTAAATGACCCTACAAAACTGGATGAGAGAGAATGAAACTGAGAAGTTGCTGCTCATACTGGAAATTCAATAGATAATATGTAACTATAGATACGATAAGAACTAAAACCCAGAAATCCTCCAAATGATCAGGAGGGAAACATGCAAATGTAAGCAAATACACTGAATCTGCAAGAGATACTACTGAGTGAAAAAAAACTAGCACTATTAAAAGAAAAAAATGGGAGAACTGCACAAACACCCCCTCTTAAGAGGACGCACGTCTTAAGACACAGACTGGAAAAAGAATTCCAAGGAAGAGAACTGGGAGACAGGAGTCATTGGTAGGAGGAAGACTTAGTTTTCATTGTAATTCATTACTTTTATGTTGTTTGTTTTTTTAAGCTACAGGAGTGTACTTTTAAAATACAGCTTTTACTATAGTTTTTAATTCATATGGAAGTTAATACAACTTGCTTTTTAGAGTCCAATGTCTGTCAACGAAAGTGTAAATCCTGAAGGACCTAAGGGAAGCAGTTCACATGGCCAACCAGGGTGCTGGAGGGGGGCGTTTACAGCACAGAGGGCACATGGGGTCTGTGATGCCCCAGCAGGCCCTGTTCCCTGACAGGAGCTGGAGATCCGTGTTAGAGGAAGAAAGCTCAAGTCAACTGCATCACTGCTGACCTGTGTGGCCCTGGATTCTCTCTCTCATTTTTCCTCCCAGGAGGTCCCAAACAAGCAGTTCACCAGACTGACTTCCAGATAAAACAGAATTTCCATCCCAGATAAAGCACCTGCAAGAATGATTTGGAAGTAATCATTGCACCATTCATGAAGGAAGAGCTGTATTACACTGGCCAAAGCAACAACCAAGTGACATGATTGTGAACTTGTTTGTAAATGCTTTCAACAATTAGTAGCTCAAGAAAATATACCTCTGGGGCTTGTCTGAAGTTATAGAAGAGATGAGCATTCCTGTTTGCACATCTATGACATTTAAACAGCCATCTTCTCCTGTGCTGAGGACATGGCGACTGTCTGTAACAGGAGGTGAAGCACATAGAGGTTACAGCTTCAGCAATGTTAGACTCTTCTGAGAGTTTATTCCTGAATCCAGTGCCATAATGTCACTTTCATTTCCTTTGAGCTACTTGTTAACCAATGACTTACATCTAGAAATGCTTCTAAGACACTGGGCTGATGACCTGTTGGTGTGAGTTCATTTACATCTTATAATTTCTCTAATGAGTTGAGAAGTTAGTAATACGCAATACAGCTTTTCTACGAGGTACAAATGACACAAGTATTGCATTCTGCCATGAAGCAGCCTCCCTATAGGCAAAACCCCTTTGATCAGTGAAGTGTTTTCCTTTCTATGATCTGGTTATTTATTTAAAAATAATTCCAGTTCCCCTGGTATCATATATATCAAGAAAAGCACACTACCTGGGCTAAAAGCAGTATCACATACAGTCCCTGAATGGCATGGAATCTGGTGCAGTGTGGTGGCTGTAGTGAGGTCCCAAATATTCACCGTCCCTTCTTTGGTGCCTGAAGCCAACAGTGTGCTTGCAGCATTTAAGCTGATTGTATCTACCTGAGGAAAAAAACATGTAAGTATTCCATTCAGAGTTATGGTCACTACCAATGTTTTCCTTGGCCGATTCAAACATGTGGATGACACAGATGAAACCACTGTACAGAGTACTGGTGAGGCTGATGAAGATGTATTTCAACGTCAACTGCTCTTAGTTTCCTTAAAAATGAAATTCTTCACATGCTAGTGAATGAAGTATCTGTAGGGTAAATGTAATGCTGTTTTAAACTACCCTAAAACTGAGTCTCAGAATGGTAACTCCATTAATGATAAGTTGTAGTGAGATGTCAAGCTGCCTAAAGCACAGCTGATCCATAGTTATTTGAGGAATCTTGGGGATACAGAGGATCTCTCAAGATTATACTTGCATACCCATCTAGAATTACATACTAAACAAACATTTCTCAGCCTCGGTTCATCTGTTGACCATGCAAATTAAGCAGCTACACACAACCTCAGTACTGTCAAAGGCAATGCTGTAACCTACAATGTAACGTGTGGCAGTGTGACCCAGTGGAAATGGGTGAAAACCATGTGCCAGCCTTGTTCTGCCCTGGGCCACCCCAGAATCCAGGGCAGTGATGGATGGGCATCCATCCTGAACGGATGGCCACTTGCACCTTTCATGTCAGCAGACATGAAAGATAATGGGTCACATTTTGTTGCCCCAAACAGCAGGTACTCTAATGTCCTCAGAAATCAGAATTTTGGAAATCTAGTTGGATGTTAGCAAATTCTCATGGAAACAGCAAACTGAAGAAAAAAAGACAAAGGAGAAACGCAAAGAGTCAAAGAAAAGAACTGGGAGGTAGTTTATGATCTCCAATAAGCAAAACAAAACCAAGCAAAAGATCATAAGCACACAAGTAAAACCATCTCCGGCTTGTCAGCTCAGGTGCTGTGCAGTTCTGTTGCTGGTACTCACACTGACATCGTGTTCCAGCTCAGCCAGCATGTCAAACTGGTGTCTTTTGGTGCCTGTCATATTTGCAGGAACACCAGACCACACCTAACATGGAACATAATGCAGAAGGCGTTTGCCAACACATAATATAAAAACATTTCACATTCAAGGAAAACAGTTGACTGACCAACTTCCATTTACCATTTCTGCTAACCAAATGAAGCTGTGTAATGCTCCCAGTTCCTCTCCCACTGCACCCGTGCTTTTATTCCCTCCACCAGGTGCTTATTGCCAAGAGTCTACTGTTTCTACCTATGTCTGTCTCCACCCCTTGTGTTTGCTGTCATAGTTATGTGATTTAAGTATTGTGTGAACTAGGGAAATAGTGCTGAAGTATTAGGGTGTCTATTAATGTTTTGAGAAAACCCAAAAAGCCAAGTCAACAAAAAAATTACTCAAATTAGGTGTAAGGAAGAAAGCTTACCTACCTACAAAAAGGGGAAAATCCTGAAAAGCTCTTGAAAGAGATCTACTGTTTTAGGTTCTTGCTTTCTTTAAGAAACTGCAAATTTGCATAACTGCAAATTGGAATCCAAAGATGATGAATACTGGTGCAGTTTATGCAAGAATAAAGTTATGCAGGATTCCAAAGAAAAGGCCCAGGATGGTCCCACAGCAATAGAATGATGAATGAATGTGCATGTGCATGCTCAAACTTTAAAATCAATTATATTTCCATGATTCCCCATTTTAACTCAACACTTTCTGTTAACTGATCAATCGCTAGTTTCAACTATGTTAGAGAAGAGGGGCTGTCTGTTTCTCTATAACTGCTGTCT